GAGCCGACCTTAAGCCCAAAATTGAGTGGGCCCCGAACGTCTTTTGGGGTGGGTCCGAAGAGGTGAAGTGTTCCTTGCTGCGTGGCAAGTCACACGGTGAAGACAGTTCGTCAAAACCATTTAGGAGTGAATGGGAACATGACGTCGTTTTCGGGTTCGTGGAATAGAATATTTAAGTTTTAAATGTGGTTTCCTTATGAGGCTTGTCCCACATTGAAACTTTAAGAGAGTTTATTTGTGTATATAAGCTCTACCCTACAACACTTGGGTTGGGCCCCAAGGGGCACCCCAAGTTTGTACAAGGGAGGAGTTATGGACAAAGTGAACCTTAGCCCAAACCACCACACGCGCGCCGCCGCCGCCGCCGTCCGTCCGGGTGTGGGTTGTGGGTCAGGTCGATTCTAACATTAATTTATTTGTTTTTTTTTTTCAAATTTCTTGCGGGAAAAAAAAATTAATTAAAATTTTGCATTTTATAATTTGAATTTGAATTCAAATTTTAGTCCAAAATTTGTGCCTCTTACAGTTCAAATTCCATACAGAATTTCGGACAGATTCATTTCAAACTGCCCAGGCAGTTACAGGTTCAAATCTGGACAGGTTTCAAACTGTCCAGCAGTTACAGATTGTAGACAGATTCAGTTATCTGTTGCACCTGTTCTTTTGAAATCCATATCTGTTCATTTCAAATGAAGCACCTGTTCGAGTCTATATATACAGATATGTTCCAGCAATCTCGCGATCCGAAAATCAATCTGGAAATTGTCTCATTGCTGTCCATTTTGCTCTAGTGCATTTATTCTTCATATATATTTTTAGAAAAAAATAAAGAGAGTATAGAACACAGGTTTGGTTCGCCGAACAAATTTGTTTGAAGTGCTTCTACAAATTTGTGAAGATCATTGTATCCTGAGAGATAGACGCCACTCAACCGTGAGTACCGTAGCGGGGCGAATCTGCCTTAAGGACAGAGTGCCACACACTCGACTTGGTCTTTTAATTTTAATTCGGTTCGATAAATAAATTCGGTACGTTATTTATTTATTTTGTTTGATTTAGTTTCAATTTTTTTTATTTACACAGAAGATTAATCCAACAAGGGGTGAAGGCAAAAAGGTGAGGGATCGTGATGGTGATGGTGATGGTGATGTTGATGAAGATAGACGTCGAGGTCGAGGAGCTAAAAAATAAAAAGAAAGAGAGATGGAGGAGATATTAGGGTTTCGAATGAGTATGAGTTTGAGGTGTACCAAGGTATATATATTTGTGGGTATTTTTAGTTATTTTGTGAGAGCATGTACTTATGGACATAATATTCAGCTTGTGAACATTTAGATAAAGAAAATTTAAATTTATGAACCGAGTGTCTTAATTGAAATTATCCATCAATTTTTTTTTCCACTACATTACCAACGATTTCTGTCCTTTTCCTTTATTTTTTTTAGAAGCAGCCATGGCTGTCCCAGCCAAACTATAGGGGGAAAAAAGACCCGACACGACCCACTAATATATAAATACATACACAGCAGCCCTGGTAAAAGAGAGAAAAAAAAAAAAATAAGAGAAAAAAGAGTGGGTAGTGACAAGAAGAAAAACAAGAGAAGGGTAGAGTGGGTGGGTCAGTAATGCTGCAATACAGTGATCAAAAGGGACGGAGAAGAAAAGGAGGGAGAGAGAGAGAGAAAGAAGGTTAAATTGTCATTTTATGAATCTATTTGAGCAAATGCCTGTCTCACGCACTTAATTCAGCCCGTGTAACAGACAGTTAATGTGGATAGACTTCATTACTTTACGCTTCACTCCAAATTATAAAAAGGGAGAAATTATTCAATACTCCTGGAGCATCACGTGTCCATACTCTAAACCAATTAACAATTAGTTAGCCCCATGTTGTCCCCTCATATCCAACATAAATCGTGGGCCCTTGTGACTCTCCACCAATCAAAACCTTATGGAGCACCACGTGTCCATATTCCGGAAGTACTGAATAATCACCCATAAAAAGGTTAGGTGTATATTTTTAAATTATAAAGAATTAATGTATTTTTAAATTAAATTATATAGAGGTAAAATATAATTAATTTTTTGTACTTTGATATTTTATTAGAAATAAATAAATATATATATATATTAACTATAACGGAGTGGAACAATTTTAAAAATGAATTATAAATTTTAAATTGGAGATTATTTTAGCAGATTGAGTGACATTTTGGACTATCCTATGCTATGCTGTGCTAGAGAGAGGTAGACTAGTTTGACAAAAGAGTTGCTCTTGTTTCTTCTTCTTTTACTGGCTTTTTCACTTTCCATTCCACCCTAATTTTATTCTGTGTATTCTCTTGCAGAGCAGCAGCACTACAACAAATAGGTTAATGTGTGTACGTACATAGGTTAATGTGTGTACGTACATACATGCATATTATATATATATATATACACGTATATGTACAGATGGATGGATGGATGGATGGATAAGTAGTCAAAGAGAAAAGGTGAGATATTCTTGATGGCTTTTGTGGCCTTAATATTTTTAAAGTATTATTGTTGATTTTATAATTAGGCTTTGATTTTGATGGGTCGTTTGGGACCATGGATATTGGTAAAAGATGTGTGTGTGTGTGTGTGAGAGAGAGACAGAGAGAGACAGAGTTGTAATCTACTACTTGTTTTCGCTTTTTCTACTGAGTAAGAAAGTTTTGTGGGTTATATTAAATATTAAAGGATGTCTTTGGATTGATATATATGGATTGGATCAATAAGAACACAAAGAAAAGTGAAAACCCATAGAAAAAAAAGCTTTTGATTTTTGGCAAAGAGTTTCTTACAGTTTCTGGGTATTTTTGTTGAATTGAATCAATGATGGGTAGGAAGAAGATAGCAAAGAAAACAAAGGAGCTATCAGTACTAGTAATAGCAGAATCATCATCATCATCAATAATAGTTGCAGAACAAGAACAACCAAAGCAACAGCAACAGCAACAGCAACAGCAACAGCAGACTCATACTCCTAGAAAAAGGGGTAGACCTCGCAAAATAGTTGAGAAGACTGAAAGTGAAGATGAGATTAAAGAAGAAAATGAACCGAAGAAAGTTAAGATGAGAGAAGAGGAAGAAGAAGATGATGATGAGAAGAAAGAATTGCCAAGGTCGTCGTTTGTGGGGGATACAATTACAAAGAAAGAAGGGAGAAGCAGAGCTCGGCGAAAGAGTAAACCCCGTAAGAGCATCTAAACTGATCAGAAAATTTTTTTTTTTTTTTTTTTTTTAATGGA